ACCATGTTGGTCAGGCTGGTCTTGAACTCCCGACCTCAGGTGATCCGCCCGCCTTGGCCTCCAAAGTGCTTGGATTACAGGCGTGAGCCACCACGCCTGGCCAAATCTCCGACATTCTTCAAGGCCCTTACCCAATCCCATCTCCGCCAGGAAGTCATCCTTTTCTGGTTGCCAAATCCTACATTGATCTCTTATTTGGATTCTGACTACAATTTCTGCCTCCGTCACTTATTTATTATTTATCATACGACACTTTTTTTTTTTTTTTTTTTGAGACAGAGTCTCACTCTGTTGCCCAGGCTGGAGTGCAGTGGCACAGTTTCAGCTCACTGCAGCCTCCGTCTCCAGGCTTCAAGCGATTCTTGCACCTCAGCCTCCCAAGTAGCTGGGATGATAGGCACCCACCACCACACCCGGCTAATTTTTGTACTTTTAGTAGAGATGGGATTTCATCATGTTGGCCAGGCTGGTCTTGAACTCCTGACCTCAAGTGATCTGTCCACCTCAGCTTCCCAAAGTGCTGGGATTACAGGTGTGAGCCACTGCGCCTGGCCACATGAAACTTTCTATGGTCTGTGGGTCATCCCTGTATGCATCTCATCTTTCCAGCCAGATTGTTGGTCCCCTGAGGGGAGGACTATGCTTGACTCTGAATGTCTTGTTTGGTCTCCAAGATTCATTTTCTGTGCATCTTTAAAACAAGAGGTGGGATCCCCACTTTGCCTCAGATAGCTCCGTTCCTGCTCCCTAGAGCACCCTCTCCCCTTGCAGAAAAGGTGTGCTCTTGGTTCCATCTGAAGTCATCTTACTAATACAAATACTTTGCCTTTAGAATTTTTTACATAACGATTTTCATGTGGGAGCTCTTTTATTTAGTTCTGGAAACTGAGGCACAGAGCAGACCCATCGAGGGCAGAAAGCAGCCAGGGACACCCTGCAAAACACGCACTGGCAGAATGTCATCCCATGCCCGGCCTCCAGATAGCAACCCCTCTTTGGCCAGCAGCAGGCTCCTGGCCCCCACCACAGGGTGAGAGGTCTGCAGTAGAAACACCAGAGCAGGGTCTGGGCACTGGTCTGTGAGGCAATGGGACTAGAAGAGCAGTCGCATCCCTTTCAGCTCTAATATTCTGTGATTTTGTATTTCCGCCGTTAACATATGCCTCCTGTAATTGCCAGAGCTAATCTAAGAAAAGATGAGTCAGGGGCAAGTTACCATTAGAAACAAAGGACTCAAATGTCTCTCTTTGGCTGAAGCTGCCAAATAGCTGTCCTGACCACAGGGATGTCTTGACATTCTTACCAGCTGTTGGAAAGAACAGCTTTACATCTGCCTCCTGTGACTGCCAGAGCTAATCTAAGAAAAGATGAGTTGGGGGCAAGTTACCATTAGAAACAAAGGACTGAAGTGCTGAAGCTGCCAAATAGCTGATCTGACCACAGGGATGTCTTGACATCCTTACCAGCTGTTGGAAAGAAACTGTGTCTATAATAAGCAGGTGCTGGTCGGGCGCGGTGGCTCAAGCCTGTAATCCCAGCACTTTGGGAGGCCGAGGCGGGTGGATCACGAGGTCAAGAGATCGAGACCATCCTGGTCAATATGGTGAAACCCCGTCTCTACTAAAACTACAAAAAAAAATTAGTTGGGCATGGTGGCGCGTGCCTGTAGTCCCAGCTACTCAGGAGGGTGAGGCAGGAGAATTGCTTGAACCCAGGAGGCGGGGGTTGCAGTGAGCTGAGATCGCGCTATTGCACACTCCAGCCTGGGCAATACAGGGAGACTCTGTCTCAAAAAAAAAAAAAAAAGAAACAGTGAAGCCAAGGGCTGCGGGAACACACAGCAAGGGTGTTCACTCTTGACCAGGGAATCCAAGAAGAGTTTCCCTAGGAAGTGACATTTGAGTAGAGACCTGAGAAGAATGGGTAGGAATGAGCGAGACAAAGAGGCAAGAGAAAACGTGTTCTAGGCGGAAGGGCCTGTCCTGCAGGCACACAGGCCTGCAGTGAAGAGAGAGCTGAGGCAAAGGGGGTCGGGGAGCAATCCAGCGGGGCTGAAGCTGGAGAGGCAGGAAGGGCCAGAGGGCAGGCACCTTCCCTCTCTGCATTTCCCTGCCTCTGGCAATCTTTCTATTAGTTCCTTGGGCTGGAAATCTTGGGTTATCTTTGGGTTTTTCTCATCATCACAGGCCTTTCTATCCCAACACACACACACACCCACATGCATGCGACACACACCCACATGTACTCAACCATTCGCCAAGTCCTGGAGATGTTTCCATAATGACACTCTTACATGTGCCCTTCAATTCCATTACTGTTCTCAGCCAAGCCATCATTCCACATCTAG